TTATACTCTGTCTTCCGAACTCTCTCAAAAACAAATAAACGTTTTAAAAAATAATAATAATTTTACATTTTGTATGGCTGAGGCTATTTCTAGAGTATGAAAATATTTAAACTAGAGAATTTTGAGTATGTGATTGTTTAATGCAGGTGAAGTTTAAACATTAAGCATTCTAGAGAAAGCTTATTAATATATTTCTCAGATACTAGTTTTTATTAAAATTGTGTTTTGCCAAGCATTCTTAAATGAAGAGATTGGATGAGAGTAAATCTAAAGATAATTTATCAGTTCCCTTGTATTTTACCATTTGAGATATCAGACCTAAAGACATTACAGCCTGGGTGAGGTCAGACTATATGTAATGGAAAAGCAAAGACTGTAATCCTGTTCAATCCCAAAATCTGTTGTTTTGTATAACAAATCAAAGTTAACATAATGCTTATGTTTTGAACTTTAACATTATACATTTTTATGAGATAATTAACAGCTCAAATAATTTGGCAATCTAAATTAATTATGTTTATATTCCATTGGAATCATTAGTAGTTAGCTCATCAAAATCTGTTTTTAATCCAGTATCTGTTTCATGCCCTGTCTATCCCTAGAGCAGCTCTGAACTCCAAATCCATTTGTAGGACAGAGCCTCAACATGATACATGGCTTGTGAGGTCTTACCTGTTATTATCCATCTCACTCTCCTTTGTGTCCCTGAATGTGCCCCTCCAACTTTGCCTCCCTACTTGGGCACACTCAAATCCTGCCTTATGCCCTCTGTGGAGCCACTACAAAAAGGGTCATTGACAACTCTTTTCATTTGTCCTATGGGAACTAACAAAGCACCCTGCAAATACTAATAAGTACATTTTATTAAAGTTTATTTCAATTTAGAACCATTCTAATTAAGTACCATTTGATAAATTGCATATTATATATGTAACCACTTGAAGAGGATTGCATCATGACTGAGAATCTGAAAAATATTTTTTAGAATTCTATGGAATTATTTTGCTTTATAACTTGGTATCTTCCATCTTTAAAGGTCTCATCTTTGTTTCAAATCTGTTTGAGGAGTTTTTTATAATACTCTGAAGGCATAGAATTTATAAAATGATGTACTTGTTAAACACACAGCACTTTTTTGGGAACAAATGTTATTTTATCAAGTTATGAGAGAGCAGGATATAAGTTCTTGATTAAAATTCATTTGGTGTGTCATCTGACTGAATGTACTTAAAAGCAATCTTTGACATGTTGATCAGATTAACTTGATTTAATCTCAGCTGAAACTTAAGTTCAGTGTTAGTCATGGATAATTACTGTCAGAAAGGATATGTTCTAGCTATTCATTTACATAATATGAGCTTTCTTTTGGATTGCATATGAATTAATTAAATTTCCTTTAATTGTAGCAACTACATGCAACATGCAGCTTCTTGCTAGTTCATTAACTTCTAGAAAATGGCCAATATCCTAATATAAATCTCTGAAGTAGAGTATAGGCCTAGAGAGGAAAAAAAAATAGAAGAGAGAATCTGGGAAAACAATTCACCAGATATATCAGAAATGACTTCATTTTAGCAGAGCATTCCTCCCTGAAAAGAAAACTACTGATTCAATTAGCCAATTCATTTTGTGGCTAAACTGTAAAGAAACCAGACTCTCTTAATAAACATTAAACTCATTCTTTGACAGCAAAAGCATGAAATATTCTCTTGAAAAATCTTAAACAATTTGATACAAATAAAATTATTTAAAATTGGTAAGATCATAAGAACACAAAGAAAATGTAAGGTATAAAATTATAAGTATGTGAGTCAGATTCCTGGCACTCACATTTTGGACTCTTAAATATTAGATCAACAATTGGCATAAATACTGGCATAAAGATGAGAAAAAAAGATTTTCCAAATTCAAATCAGTCATTACTGTAGAGTTACAGTTGACATAATTTTGAACTTAAAAAAATGTATTTCATTGAACATTAAAAAGCAATAATACAAACAGAGAACAATTTTCCCAACATTATATCCACCTAGTTAATCAACTGTTTATTTTTCTGTATCTTTTCTGAGGTTTTTCTAAGTTTCTTAGCTTATTCTTAGTTTCTAACAAAGTTTTTTACTTTCTTCTTACATTATTTTATATGTTTTTATTGATAGCATATATATCTCATCTTTTCCACTTAAGAGCATTGCCTGCTTATTTGCCTAGTCTTTCTCTTCATGTTATAGTTATTTTAAATATAAAGGAGATTTCAATAAATCAAAGACCCTAAAGTATGATCTCAGAAACAGCAACATCATCATCACATGGGAACTTGGAAATATAAATTTGGGGCTACACATAGCTCAGATCTACTGAATCAGAACTCTTAGGTGGATTGGAGGTAGAACTGATCTTTTAACAACTCCTCTAGGCCATTTTAATACATGCCACACTTCAAAATCTACCACATTAAATATATTTTACAAAATTTAATAAAATATTTCAGTGACGTATTATATAAAATAACACTCACCCAGGAAGGTTGTTCAATAAATTATATTATCCTTTTTTTCTTTTTCATATTTTTAAATAATTGTATAGACTACTTTCTAAACAATTGGAATATGGCATCCAATGGTTCAAATATTTAAAAATTGCTTTCAATAAAATTTGTTCCAGTTTATACTGATATCAAAAGGCATACCTTAAAAGGTACAGTTGATAGTCTTGGTCTTTTTTATTTGTAATATTAAATTTGCTATACTCCATTTGGAAAAACATGCATATATATTGAAATAAAAGTATGACATAGGTTTTATTTAAGAGCCAACAAAATTGATTTTTAAAATACTATTCATTTGTATATGAAAATTAGTCTCTAAAATATAATAATAATAATAACCAGCAATTAAATGGATTTATATATAGGTTAAGCCCTTAATTTTAATAATCTTATGAGGATATGACGTTATCCCTATTTTACAGATGAGGAAACTGACTTACAGATGTGTTAGGTATTTGTCCAAAGTCCTGAAGCTTATAACTAGTGGGGTTATGGTTTAAACTCTGTATCAGAATCTATGTTCTTAAAAATTATAATGTCATTATGTGGAGAGAAAGCTTTATTTATTTATTTATTTATTTATTTTAGAGAGAGAGAGTACTTGCATGTGTGCATGCACGTGGGTGAATGGGGAAGGAGCAGAGAGAGGGAGAGACAGAATCTTTTTTTTAAATTTATTTTTATTTATTTATTTTTAAATGTTTATTTATTTAAAAACTTTTTATTAATGCTTTATTTATTTCTGAGAGAGAGAGAGAGAGAGAGACATCGTGAGCAGGGGAAGGTCAGAGAGAGAGGGAGACAAAGAATCTGAAACACGCTCCAGGCTCTGAGCTGTCAGCACAGAGCCCGACGCTGGGTTCGAACCCCTGAAACAATGAGATCATGACCTGAGCTGAAGTCAGACGCTCAACCGTCTGAGCCACCAAGGCGCCCCTAAATGTTTATTTATTCTAAAGGGAGAGAGACGGAGAGAGTGTGAGCTGGCAAGGTGCAGACACATAATCTCAGGCAGGCTCCAGGCGCTGGGCTGTCAACAGAGTCCTACACGGAGCTCCACCTTATGCATCACCAGATCATGACCTGAGCTGAAGTCCTATGTTCAACTGACTGACCCACACAGGCACCCCTAAATTTTTTAAAATATTTATTTATTTTGAGAGAAAGACAGAGTGTTAGGGAGGGAGGGGCAGAGAGAAATCTGAAACAGTCTCCAGGTCTGAGCTGTCAGCACGGAGCCTAATTGGAGGCTCAAAAACGGTGAGATCATGACCTGAGCCCAAGTTGGACGCCCCACTGACTGAGCCACCCAGGGGCCCCAGGAGAGACAGAATCTTAAGCAGGCTCCATGTTCTGTGCAGAGCCTGACATGGCACTCAATACCACGATACTGGGATATGACCTGAGCTGAGATCTAGAGCTGGACACTTAATCTACTGAGCCACCCAGATGCCCTGGAGAGATGGTTTTAAATTAACAAGCTGAAAATATACACTATGTATCTAATAAAATTACTGTAATTTATTACTTCACAAACCACAAATCTCTCTCTGAATATATGTACATATGTATTCATTTATTTTATATATGTATAAAATAAATATAAATATACACGTATATTTTCTTATTAAGTTTTCTGACAATTTTTAATTTCTAGTCTGATAAAATCCAGTCAGATAAAAAAGAAAAGCCAGATCTTCTTATGAAGGTGTAGGGATTTTAGGTGATTAGTTTGGTTTTAGTACAAGGCTGCCAGATCTATTCCTCTCTTATGCCAGTGGAGACTGTTAAATTGAGTAAGTAACAAGAAAATTGAATTCTTCATGATTTATTCATTTAGTCAAGAAATGTATTAGTGATTGTCAAGTGGCAAAGGTCAAAACAAGAAAGGAGTAGCTATCAAAACTCATCAAGAAGTTTTCAAGGCACAGTTATTTTCCATTCCTTCTTCTTGCTTTTTATACATATATGTCATGTCTCCTATCCAGGATTCTATTACTGTAAAAGTGGACGTTTGTTAAACACTTACTCTGTGACAGGAAAGTCATTCCCATGGGTTATTTACATGTAATATTCTGTACAACTTTAGGAGGTGGTCGATACTATTACCCTCATATGACAGATGGGACAACTTGGCACAAAGAGGCATTTTATCCAAAGACATACAGCTAATAAATCGTAGACTTAGGATTTGAACTCAGGCAATTTAATTTTGGGACCATGTTTTTAAGGACCACACTACTTGTTGGAGAGAGAGAAGAGAGCTACAGCACATGGGGAAAGAGGGGGAAAATGCTGAGGGTGTTTTCAAAAGTTACTACCTAATACAAGTCTCTTTTCCACTGAGAACAATGAAACCTGATTATACTGAATTTCTCTTAGAATTTTTTTATTTCCTACTTTGACATGCACATATTTAGACAAATATATACAAATGACTTTTCTTTATCTTCAGGATTCCTGATTCAGGATGTCCCTTTGGGGTCTTGCGAGAATAAATACTGTGGTTTGGGAAGGCACTGTGTCATCAGCAGAGAAACAGGGCAAGCAGAGTGTGCCTGCATGGACCTTTGCAAACGGCACTACAAACCTGTGTGTGGATCTGATGGAGAATTTTATGAAAACCACTGCGAAGTGCATCGAGCCGCTTGCCTGAAAAAGCAAAAGATTACCATTGTTCACAATGAAGACTGCTTCTTTAAAGGTAAATACAGGGTCGACCTAAAGTGTCACCTTCTATTTCTTTCCTTTTCTCAACTACTGCCTTTTAAACTTCAAGTTCAAACTCTAGCACGATTTTATATCAGTCAGTATTTAAAAATGGAAAAGAAAAAATGTTAGTTTAATCACGCCAATAAGCAGTAAGTATATAGGAATTTACATGGATACAATTCTGAATCTCAATTATGAGTACAAAGTTGGCCAAAATCTGACTCAAATTTAATATAGCTGACGGCATTGCACCATATGGCTTCCCAATCATGGCTGTTTTATCTTAGGACACAGGGAGGCCAATTCAGTCAACAGGCCAAATCCACCCAGTGTAAAGCACCTGGAGTTGAATTGAGTGAATAGTGAATGCCAAGCCATGCTGTGATAACATCTCATTTCTTCCTGATTAGAAATGATGGGTTTCAGTTTGCACCACATAATTCAGATTATATGGACCTGAAAATGTCCATTGAAATAACTCTGAAGAACTCATGCTAAATTTAATTAGTAAATTTGAGATGACAGTAATTTAAAATCTGAAAGTATTGGTGTTTACTTTCATGGTACTCAAAATCATTGGTCATTGTCTATGAAAAGGTACTGCTGACTTAGTGAATTGAAAAATTATTTTCACATGCTATATAAATACATTGTTGGGTATTTTTAAAGTCATTTATTTATTCATAAACTTATTTTGTCTTTGCCTCTACTGGAAAGAATATTTGCTCATTAATAGTCACACCCCACACTGAAATTCTGAATTCTTAAATATATGGGACTTCCATCATTCGAATAGGTCAGTGGTTGCCTTGATTTCTAATCTTTGATTGTTTCCCCATCTCATTTTTTCATAATGTTCTAAGATTCAGTTAGACTTAAATCTTGTCTGATATTTTAATTCTTAGCTTACATGTATGACTGAAATATAATGTATTTCATCTGTGCACCAACTAAGGTAAAACGGCTAAAAAATTTCCTTTTTTCAAACTTGGTAAAATAAATAAAATATTATTTCCAAAGTAATAATAAAATGATGCACAGAACTTTTCAAATGATATAAGGAGCAATACTCTAGTCAGAGTGACCACTAGAAGCCTATTGATATAATTGAAGTAAAATGAAAAGAATAGTTTTCCTTACAACAGTAAACTATGTGCAACTTGAGTACATGCACAGAAAATGTTACTGTATCAAATTATTTTCTTTTACAGAAAAAATAGCAGTCACTGTGGTTTCAAGTCTATTTATTCCCCTCTTCTATCAAGTCTATTTTAGAAATGATAATAAGTAATTCTATTACCATTGCACTTTAAAATTCATGGAAGAGTTTTATGTGTGTTTGTGTGTGTGTGTGTGTGTGTGTGAGAGAGAGAGAGAGAGAGAGAGGGAGAAAGAGAGAGAGAGAAAGAATTGATTCTGCTATTTTTTAAGTTTATTTATTTATTTTGTGTTTATGAGAGAGAGAGGGAGAAAGAGAATCTCGGTCAAGCTCCATGTTGTCAGCATGGAGACTGATGCGGGGCTCAATCTCACAAACTGTAAGATCATGACCTGAGCTGAAATCAAGAGTTAGACGCTTAACAAACTGAGCCACCAGGTGCCCCAGTTTTGTCATTTTGACTTGCCATGGTACAGTGGAAATATGACTATGTCACTAATGCATGACATCCTAAAACCACGTAATTAATATTCTATTAAGGTAATTTAGAATCATATTTCTAAATGAAGTTTTGTCCAACTGACACACAGTAATTGATTACATGGAAACGTATGATATTAAATATCATGTGAGAAAAAATGTTTGGTATATCTAGTGTTCTACTTTATTGCCAGATGCTTAGGCATAATGCAATTCAGTGTGTATATCAGTATGGACATGGAAGAACTGGATATAGCTAGGAATGTTGCCTTCCTTATGATTTCATAAAACAATGGTTTGAAAAACTTTAGTTCCTCAAGTTTATACTAAGCATATTTATCATATCTATGATTGTTTCAAAATACTTTCTTGTCATATATAAGTCAAAGTACTTCCTTATTTCATTTTATATAATATTACAATTTTATTTACATTATCTGAGTTAATCAGCAAGGATTAGCATATTTCTTTGGTCTCAGAATTTGTGGGTCTTCTGCTTATTTATTTTGGGGTTTTGGCCAACATATATATAACTCACAAAAGGACTTTATTTCAGCAGAAAGGAATTAAATAATATAGAACAAAGTAAGTTGCCTGTCTTAGTGATGTGCAGTTGGCCAACTTTAAGGTGTAAAACAATATTTGTTATAGCTGAAGGCCTGACATCACTGTGATGGCCACAATTAATCCTTGTGATTGTGAACTTTATTTCCTCTACAATGTCTGCAATTTATACTGTTTCCAATAATGGCCTAAAGGAAGAAGCAAATCAAAATATTAAGTTCAAGAACTGCTAAAAACCTATGTTTAATTAGATTTTTAACAGAAAAAAAAATCAAAACAAACTAAATAACAGGAATGAGTTATCCTCCTTTGGGGGAAAATTTAGTAGTTTAGATATAATAAAAGGCAATTATGCAAACTTCAGAACAATAGTCAACAAACGGGAACCTATAGGCCAAACTCAGGTTGCAGTCCATTTTTTTAATGCAATGTGTTATTGGAACAGAGTCATACCTGCCAATTTAGGAAATTTTCTTTGGGAGTTTTTGCACAAGAAAAGGAGAGTTGAGTATTTGCAACAGAGATAGCACATCCCCCAAAACATAAAAAAAAAACTTTTGTCTGGATCTTCCCAGAAAAAAATTTGTTAATATCTGCCTTAAAAGATTACCAGTGCCTTAAAATTAGTATTTAAAATATTGATGGATCTTGGAGCACCTGCGTGGTTCAGTCAGTTGAGTACCTGACTTTTGGTTTCAGCTCAGGTCATGATCACATAGGTTCAGGAGTTTGAGCCTGCATCACTGTAGAGCCTGTTTGGGGTTCTTTCTCTCTCTGCATTTCCCCCACTTGCACTCATTCTCATTTTCTCTCTCAATATCTCTCTCAAAATCAATAAATAAAGACTATTCGTTAAAATATTGATAGATTATTACTATTCTATTTCTTCTTGGCTATGGTGGTGAACATAAGGGACATATTCCCTTTGTTACATTTGAATAGAAATAAACACACACACACACACACACACACACACATACACACACTGTCACAAGTAAAACAGGAAATATGAGTAAAATCAGTGTATAGTGTTAAAAATGATATTTTGGGAGGTGCCTGGGGGGCTCAGTCAGTTAAGCGGCTGACTTCAGCTCAGGTCACCATCTCGCAGTTTTTGAGTTTGAGCCCCAGGTCAGGTTCTGTGCTGGCGGCTCAGAGCCTGGAGCCTGCTTTGTATTCTGTGTGTGTGTCTCTCTCTCTCCCCCTCCCCTGCTCAAACTCTGTCTCTCTGTCTCTCAAAAATAAGTAAGGGTCTTATGTTGGGGAGGAAAAAATATTTCTCTACATTTCTACATTCTTCTGGATAGCCTAATCATCAAATTGACACGAGACAGATAAGAGAAGGAAGATAAATTTAATTGTATATACATAGGGCCCCATAAGAATATGAGATCCAGTGACAGGGAATTATGGTTTAGATGTAATCCCAAAGTAAGAAGAGGGTAAGGGTCTTGGACTTCAAACTGGAAAAAATGATTCATAAGGAGACGGAAAAGCAAACGTTTGGTAAAAAAAAAAAAAAAAAAAAAAAAAAAAAAAAAAAAAAAAAAAAAATAAAAAAAAATAAATAAAAAAAAAAANGTTTTTCTTATGATAAAAAAAAAAAAGTTATCTTTAGTAATAGCACCAGGCCCTCTATGTAAATTCCTTTAGGCAGGTAAGGGGATGCTGGGGGCAAAAACCCCTTTTTGCATCTGTAGGGCCTTTATTGTCTTCAGCTGAAAATAATCCTCATGCCAAAGCAGCACATTCTGAGATGAACTGTACTGAATCCCATCACAGAGCATAAAACTTTTATATTTTTATGTAATACCTAGCTATTCGTTATGATGGCAGTTTGGGCTTAAAGTCATTTCCCATCCCCACCTCTACCCCCAAACAGCTTCTAACTTCTACCATTCAGGTCACTTGTAACAAGTAAAATTTCCTCTCACCCTGACACCAGGTCACTCTGTCTTACACAGCAGAATTTACTTACTCAGAGAATAGACATAAGCTAGAGTAAGAAACTCACAATATAACCTATGTGAAAATGAATAAGGAATTAAACCTTTTATGAGAAAGTCAATTGAACAGAAACCCTTTTGCCATTTACTGTGCTAAGAATAAAATTGCCATAAAAGCAAATGTTCTGTGCATTTAAATGTGCATCACAAACAATAACAACTTGGGAAATATGGTTTTTATGGCTATGTGTGCACTATTTGAATGAGATCTGACATTGCGTTTTTTCCTTTGGTATAATCTGGAGAGACATTCATATTCCATTTTTAATTGGTTCTTTCACCGGATATTTTTTTAAAGATAAGACTCATAGAAATTGGGCTAGAGAACTAGGCCCCCAATAATTATATAATATTTTAAAATATAACAGTAATTGCTCTGTGTTAACATGCAGGAGCTTTTAGATTACATTTTTTTTTTGAAGGGCAGCTTTTTGAAGTTTCTAATTTCTGTCTAGTGTTTTATGCCATTTCATGAAAAATAGTAATCTTGATAAATATTTAAACTTTGGAAAGTGATGCCCAGATACTTGTTTGTTGGTTTAGTTTTATTTTTGGTCAGTGTTGGCCAACTGAAACTGCAAGGTGGTAGTAAAATTAATAAACTGGATGACTATAAATGTACATTAACTCTTAAAGACCATAATAGAGACACAGAAGCCCCAGTTCTTTTGAATGCCTTCAGTATACACAATATCAAACCAGTTTGATGAATCTCCCATATTTGGGTAGATTTATGATCAAATTTTCTGAATTTGATGATATGAAATTGGTTGTGTTGTGTTT